GTAATAAATGTAATTACATAATATTAATAATATAATAAATGTATTAATATTGTAATTTAATTTCGAAGGTTATTGGCAAGGAGGTAGAGGAGGCAGATGAAGAAGAGGATAAGGAAGAATATATGGTAGTAGGGGGATGATGGTGGGGCCAAACAAAGTAAATTTGACATTTTGATGTCTGAATTGGTGGAGGTAAAAAAGTCGTTTATGATTGTTTGCAAAGACAATCCATAGTCGAAGAGGTAATTGAGAGCTTTAAAGGGGAACTGGGTGGAAAAATAGATGGAGTGATGAAAGAAGTTGTGGAATTGAGGGGTAAACTTAAGGGGTGATGGGAGGAAAAATTGTTGAAGTGGTAAAGGAAATTGTGGAATTGAGGGGTGAACTTAAGGGGGTGATGGGAGTGGTTGAGAAAAATTTGGATGAAGGGGAAAAAATAAAAGGTGATGAAGGGGAAAAAATAAAAGGTGAAATAAAATAGATGAAGAGTTTTGTGGAGGAAAAATACGATGAATTTAAAAAAGATGGATGAAGTGAGGAGGAATGATGTGGATATTATGCGGACATCGTAGAGTGTAATAGATGCAGATTTGAATTTAGAATGTCTTGCACCCAAGAAGAAGCAGAAGGTAAGCTGAATAAAAGAAAACTTAATTTGATTTTTATTATTATGTTGTGACAAAAATTTGTAAGCAAAATTGTAGGTTGAAAAAACGAAAATATCAAGCGGAATTTGTGAATACGAAGCTGCAATGCGTCATTTTATATGGAATAGTGGGTTATAATCGACGTAAGTGAAATATATTGCTTTGTGATTTATATTTAAATATTTCATGACAAAATATTAATTCTAATGCTTCATACAAAGATATTGTAATCGAAATGGGAAATCAGTTCGCTACAGTATCCGACGTTGAAAAGTTAAAGCCTATGGAATGTGTTGGCGGTGTGGTAAGTAGAAGGTAAAAAATGTTAAAACCTAATGAATATGTTCTAATTGTGTAATTAATTTTGTTAGGTTATTGATTTGGTCGACTGGTTTTGGTTTACGAATCGAATAAGTTACCACTGAATGGGAAGATTGGCTACCTTCCATACAAATGTTGAAAAACAGTGTTATAGATGGTCAATTATAATGATTGTTGCGTAAATGCAGAGAATGGCGTTGGACGACAATATAATTGTTGCTGGTGTTGTGAGCTTTTGGGTGATTGTATTGAATGACTATTTGAAATTCACTGACTATGACACGGTAAGACACCATACGATTTGCAAATAATGTTTTAGGAGATATAATGTTGAACTTTATTAAATTGGGTGTGAAATTTATTGCAGATCCTTATCACAATAAATGACAATGGTACCCATTGGTATCTATTGGTGTTGGATGTGGTTTCTTGTGTTGCAACGGTATACGATAGTTTATTTTCATCTCCAGTGGCCAAAGACAGAGTGAAGGATGCTAAGAAATTGATATGTATGAAAGGAAATTATGTAATTTATAATGCAAAATTTGTTTGGATCATAACTTGATATTTTTAATGCATATGACAATATTAGATAAATATAATAAGGAACACGTTTTTGTAAAATCATGTGGGCATCTAAAGGTCTCATTGAAACATTTTAAATTTGTGGAGCATAAGATGAATGAGCAATTGAATGAGTATGAGATGTTATCATAAATAGAAAGCGCAATTTATACAGGTTTAATAATTGACATGTTTGGTATTCAAATTTTGTAATAGATATGATTGCGACATTTATGTGATTATGCGAATGGAAGCAATCGCTTCTAGAGGGTCAACAAATGATTTTGTAAGTGGAATGAAAAATTAGTTTGCGGTTAAAATGTTAAAAGTCGTAGATTGAATGTTGTGGTTAACAATACTTAACATACTGACAATTTTAATATAGGTTGTTGGAGAATGTGATCGTATGTGAATATTAAACGATCTCATAAGTCACGATCAAAATAGACGGAGAGAGGAAGTGACACAAGCTTCCATCAGACACATGAATAACAATAAGCCCCGATGATGTAAGCGAAATTTTGTATATGATTTTATAATTTTGTATATGAATATAATTATGTATGAGATGAGAAAAGTTAACAATAGGTTGTTGTACATGTTTCTTATACACAGTAGAAGTTATGTTGATACTTACGATATATTGAGATCGTTGTCTGCATTATTCCAAATGTCACTCACATAATTGTTATTATGGGCAACCTATTACGTTACATAAGCGCTACCTAATATGTTATTATGTTTGATAATGTTTCTAGTAATTAACCGGTTATGTTATCGTTTATAAACTTAAACTTTGATAATATTTTAGGTGTTACCTAATATGTTGATAATACAAATAACAAATTAAGTAATTAACCAATTTTGTTATCGTCGGATTTCCAAAGCCCCATCAACTTTAAAAATACGCTACCTATTACGTTTTATAAGGCTACCTAATATGTTATTATGCTTGATAATGTTTCTACTGATTAACCGGTTATGTTATCGTCGGATTTCTAAGGCTTTATCAGCTTAAACTTTGGTAACATTTTAGGCGTTACCTAATATGTTGATAATACTAATAACAAATTAAGTAATTTACATATTTTGTTATCGTCAGATTTCCAAAGGCCCATCAGCTTAAAAATGCGCTACCTATTACGTTATATAAGCGCTACCTAATATGCTATTATGCTTGATAATGTTTACAGTAATTAACCGATTATGTTATCGTCGTATTTCCAAAGCCCTATCAGCTTTAAAAAGACACTACCTATTACGTTATATAAGTGATACCTAATATGTTATTGTGCTTTTTAAAGTTAACGGTAATTAACTGATTATGTTATCATATATATTTTTTGCGCATTTTACTTAGGACGATAACATAATCGGTTATTACCGTTTTTATTATCAACTTAAATAATATTTTTGATTAAATTATATAATATTTTCGATATCGATTTTAATTGATCTTTGTTTAACCAGTCACACCATTTTTTAATTTTTTTATCCGACTTACTGTATAAGGGCCCCCATCTCATCAGAATCTCTCTCTCTCTCTTTTAACACAAAAAACTCTTTCTCTCCCTTGTCTCTAAAGATTGACTCTTTTCCCTTGTTTTTTAAATAGAGAAAATAATCTCAGTGACCGAAAATGCCTTATGATATACGATAATCAACTTTTTTTGGATTTGCCAAAATGACCAACAAAATCGTAATGCGAACTCTAATTTTTCAACCCAGTTTCCAAATTCGCAACGCGATTTTGCGATAGTCCAAGTTCGCGTTGCGATTTTCCAAATTCGTTGCAATTTTCCAAATTTACGTTAGTCCAAATTCGTTGCGATAGTCCAAGTTCACGTTGCGATAGTCCAAGTTCGCATTGCGATTTTTCAAATTCGTTGCGATAGTCAAAGTTCACGTTCGAAGTTCGCGTTGCGATTTTCCAAATTCGTTGCGATAGTCCAAGTTCACGTTACGATTTTCCAAATTCGTTGCGATAGTCGAAGTTCGCGTTGCGATGGTCGAAGTTCGCGTTGCGATAGTCGAAGTTCACGTTGCTATAGTCAAAGTTCCCGTTGCGATTTTCCAAATTCGTTGCGATAATCCAAGTTCACGTTGCGATTTTCCAAATTCGTTGCGATATTCGAAGTTCGCGTTGCGATTTTCCAAATTCGTTGCAATAGTCCAAGTTCACGTTCGTGTTGCGATTTTCCAAAATCGCAACGACTGGTGGTATTGCATTTGTTTCTTAAGAATTTTCTCTAAAAAGATAGTATCCGCGCGTACGTGTCGAAGACACGTATTACCACGACCACGACCCGAGACGAGACGGGACGACGGCTGCGACGGTGCGCGAGAGTCCCTCTTGTTCTCTTCCACTCAACAAGGATGTGGGAAATCCAAGCCTTAAATACTCATTCCAATAGTGTTTCCAATACTATGTGGGATTGAGCATTACCAACACTTGAGAATCTTTTACACTATCGCAACATATCCTTTATTGTTTCAAACTAAGATCTTACAAATGGCTTGGGAATCTTATATACTATCGCAACACATTTTTTATTGTTTCAAACTCCACGTGAATTTAAAATAGTTAAAATGTAAACTTATTTTGGATTTTTCACTATCGCAACACTTTTTCACTATCGCAACAACACGTTTTTTAAACTCTCGCAACACATTTTAGCTATCACAATACATTTTAACTATCACAACACATTTTTCAAAATCACGTTGCGAATCTTACAATTGCGTTGCGAATCTTGATATTCGCATTGCGAATTTCAAAACTGGGTTAAAAAATTAGAGTTCATATTGCAAATTTAAGATTGTGTTGCGATTTTGTTAGTCATTTTGGTAAATCCAAAAAAAGTTACTTAAAATCATATATTATAAGATATTTTGATCACTGAGGTTATTTTCTCTTCCCCCGCTTCACCTCAAGCAACCAAGCTGTCTCTTGTTGGGTGGGAGCACGGAAGCAAAACCAGATGCTTAACCCTAAATCTCAAACCCCAACCCCCCCGTCTTTTCTTCCTCGCTAATTACATGTTGTTGTCTTAAAGGCTCGAAAAGCGCGTGGCCGGTTGCAGTTCCTGCCGTTTGCTGCTGTTTTCTGGTCATCCCTTTCTCTCTCTCTCTGATTTTGGTGCCATTTCGACTTTAATGTCTTTAGTTTTGTTTTTGTTTGAAGAATATATTGATTTTATTTTATCGTTCTCTCTCTTTTTTATCTCTCGGATTACAGATGTTGTAACGGTTGAAAATAGCGGTATGGGTCGATGGATTTTGGCTGAATAATGCAGATTATCGGGAGAAATATAGGGGCCGGGAGAAAGGAAAACAACAAGTTATCTAGATAAGCTTCTTCATTCATCATCATCTTCTCTTTTGAAAAACGTTTCCAGTTTTAGATTAATAGTTGAATAGTGAAGCTTTCGTTTTTAGCTTTTTCTTTCTTTTTTGGTGGACCATACTTCTTGAATTATGGAGGTGAGAGGTGAAGAGCACGACATTAAGACGCTGGTTCGTGATGGGAATCATAATGGTGTTTCTGTTCTCACTTGCACTCAAACCCTAGACCATGTCCATCGTCCCCAGAGGCAACAATTGCTCGGTCATATCGGAAGATCCCCGCACCCGGATCGTGTCGCCAGTTCGAACGCCAAGACATCGCCAAGCGTCGTCAGGTATCGCGAGTGTCTAAAGAACCACGCTGCCAACATCGGTGGGAACGTTTACGACGGGTGCGGCGAGTTCATGCCTAGTGGAGAAGACGGGACGCTCGAAGCGTTGAAATGCGCTGCCTGAGACTGCCACCGGAACTTCCACCGCAAGGAGGTTGATGGCGAGACCCAACAATTCGGAGGTAATCATCTCGGTCGAAGAAGCTTGATGCTTAAACCTCTTAAGTTGCCTCCACCTTTGCCATCTCCAACCATGCTGCACCACCACCACCATCAAAAGTACACGAGCCCACCCAGTGCAATGATTGCACCGATGAATGTAGCGTTCGGCGGAGGAGGTACCGAGTCTTCCAGCGAGGATCTCAACATGTACCAGTACAATCCCGAGGGAATGCCGCCGGCACCCCCTTATGTCTTTTCAAGAAAGAGATTCAGAACTAAATTCACGCAGGAACAGAAGGATAAGATGTCGGAATTAGCCGAGAAACTGGGCTGGAGAATCAACAAACAAGATGAAGATGAAGTGGAGAAATTTTGCATCGAGTACGGTATCAAAAGGCAGGTTTTCAAGGTCTGGATGCACAACAAGAAGAACGTGAAGAAGCCACCCCAAGATGAGTAACATATCATCATCTTCATAATGCCATATGTATGTATACTTGGTATAATTCTTCATTGTAAAAGCCTTGGTTTTCTCTTGGCTAATTCGGCACTTGTATTAGTAATTGTTTAATTTCTTTAAGTTATAATGCTAGTCGCTTTCTCATCATTTCATCTGTGCCAAAATGAAAATATGAAAATGGGGCAGCGAATGGGTATCTCGCTCCTTCACAATATTTAATTTCATGCGGGCTCATTTTCCAGTGGTTTTATTAACATTACTGCACACTAGTGTCTGTGAGGTTGAATACATAAAATGCGTATTCTTTTATGAGCCTTGCAGATTATACAAGAATCCCTTGGCATTATTTGTATTTGGATTTTGGAACTATCTTAAGTTTCAACGGAAATTAAATGGACAATAAGTTCTCATGAGATTGTGGCCCGACACATTTTTCCTGCTTGAAATTTGGAGGCGCCTTTTTACACAACAAATGAAGACTATACCCTCTTAACCAATTAATATGTTTACTTTTGTAATATTAACATGATTATGCAATTTTGTTATACTTTACCTAATATTTTATATGTAATTTTTTTAATAGTATGAGATGATTATAAGAGATAATTTATTTATAATTTATTTTAGTTATTAACAATATAAACTCGAATCTTAAACCTTTAGACAAAATATTACTATGTAAAAGATAAGGTAAAAACCGAAGGTTAGCACAGTACATACAAAAAAATGGGCATTAAAGCGTGTCTCCAATAATAAATTCCGATGTCCTTACTCCTCACAATCTTTCCAACATATGCAGGTCAATTTCAACTTTTACGTTGTACCTTTCGTAGCATTGTCACCTCAACAAATTTGGTCCGCAAGTTTGGTCATTGAGGGACATTTCGTACTGAGGCAAGTGCCTCTACTTTGGAGAGTAACATCGATAGTCTTGTTAGTATTGTTTCATCTTTAGTTGGAGGTAAGGCGTCACAAGTTAGGGCTTGAGGCATATGAGCTACTCCTAAACATTAGATGACTGCATGCCCATTGCTTCAATATGACCGCTAATAACTATACCTCGAGCTTGATTTAAAAAATCCATCGAATTTAGATGTTATATTGAACATGAATTTGACTTTTTGAAATAAAATATTAATGTCAGGTGAAGTTAAATCCATCAAATTCGGGTGAAATATTCATCTCTATTCTCATTAAAAAATTTGTCAAAGAGTTAAATCGTTAGAATTATTCTCTAGAGGTTGCTTGTTTGATACAAGTTATCTATCAAGATGTTCTTACAATTAACACCCAGGGAAAGATTGGTGGTTTGAGGATGCTTCTCGATCATCGAAGAAGAACTATAATATGTCCAACACTAAAAGCTGACGTCTTGAACCTATATTTTCCTTATTATTGGCTATATCTATTTTATTTATACTCTATAACTTCTAATTATGTTTAGGATAAATTACGTCAATGAATGTTTGGGTAAGTGTTCATTTTCACCACTAATGTTTGAAAAGTCATAAATCGATTACTAACGTTATCATTTGTTATAAAATGGTCACTCGACGTTAATAGTCATTAACAAATCGTTATTACAGTAATGGAATGCTGATGTGGCATGTTAAACCAACTGACTCAGCATGTTTGACCAACCGTTTTGACTCTTCTTCTTCCTCCTCCCATTAGCCACTGTCCGTGAAATCAAGCTCAAGAGCAGAAGAATTATGGTAATTTCACACTCTTAAAAAATCCATTTTTCTTAGTTGGAATAGTGTTTAATGGCTTTGATTTTCGTTTGATAGAGAGGCAGTGATCTTAACGAAGAAGACAACAGGTGGTCGCCATGGTTGAAACCTTTGTTGAGAGAACAATTCTTTGTTCAATGCATGCACCATGTTGATTTTCACAAGATTGAGTGCAATATGTTATGCTTAGATTGCATGAACGGCTCCCTCTGCTCTCTCTGCTTAGCATATCACAATGATCATCATTGTATTCATGTTAGGCAATCTTTCTTCAAATTTTTTAGAATTCATTTTCTCGGTACCCAAATAGGCAATTGACTTGAATGTTTCGACAAATAAGGCAATCGTCGTACCACGTTGTAATAAGAGTATCTGAAATACAGAAGTATCTAGACATATCTAGAGTTCAAACCAGGGATTCAAAAAACGGCTGTGTAACGGTAAAACGACCGTTATATCGCGGTATCGACCCCCACCGTTACCGATATCAGCCGAAACCACGGTGTGAAATGGAATCACACCTATAACGGTCGATAACAGCCGCAATTTAACGGGTAACGGTCGATTGCGGCTATAACGGACCGTTTTTCCCGTTAATCCCGTTACAACATCAAAAATCACCAACAGCACAATTACTACAAAAAAATAGCAATTCAGTTTCCTTTACGGCAAAAGTAAAAAAAAGTAAAAATGAAAGAATATATTCTCTGTAAAACCTATAAAAATCAGTTTACTTTATATCAAAATTGAAAAAAAAAGTAATCACAAATTCACAATTATTGAATCGGTACAAAATATAAAAATAAAAAGCAACAGAAAAAAGCAACCCCAAATTGAAATCCAAAATTTTTGCTTGCAACTTCAAAACTCTAAAATTTCACTGCCCCAAACTCAAAATCAAAGAAAAATCAGAAGGGAAAAAAGCTTTCACTTTGAAGAGAATCTCACAATTCCAAGTAAGTAAAATACATGATTGTTAAGTTCTTCATTCTTGCTTCTTGTAACATGCAGCAACCAAGATAGGTATGAAAAAAATTTTGACAAAAAATCTTCACAAATCCATCAATTTTTGTAGTTTTGTGGATATTTTTGGTAGAAATAACAAGAAAAATTTAAGAAATGTAACAAAGAAAAGAAAAGGGATGCATTTGAAAGAAGAAGAAAAAGACATCTTTGTTGCTTCTGGCTTCTGCGTTCTGCCAGTCCTATGCCCCTCCATTTTCACGTTAGAACTTAGAAGAAGATGATAGGTTTTTATGTTTTATCTTTACCTGTTAGGGATTTAAAGATGTTTTATGTTTTATTTCTTATTATTTTTTTTTACTTTTAATTTGTAGGCTTTTTGGGTTTGAAGTTTGGACCCAAAAGAACCATATAAATTTAAATGGAGTATTTGGGTTATTGTTATGTTATGGCCTTATGAATTTACCCCATATAATTAAATAGATTAGGCTATTTAATTAGTTAATATTATGACCTTATGAATTTTTTAAAACAATTGTTGAATTTAAATTTTATATACTTCAATTATTTTTATTATTTATTAGTTTATGTAATAAACTTATTTTTTTCACTTTCAATAATGTTTTATTATTTTTTGTATTAAATTATTGATAATAGAAGTGATGAATTGCTTATATTTCTAATTCTATTTTTTGGATTTATGTTTCTTGTATATAAATAAAAATAAAGCATGCCACCACGTGAAGAGTTTCCGACGAAAGGATTAGAAGGTGCACCGAGTAATGATATAGGTTGGCACTTTGGTACTCCAGTGCCAAATGCGAGAGGAAGCACTTCATGTAAACTATGTGGTAAAGTTGTGAAAGGAGGAATAACACGATTTAAAGAACACATTGCTCATAAAACCGGAAATGTTGCACCATGCCCTAATGTTACTGGTATGTGATATTTTTATTATTTTTTTAAAATTTTACTATAAATTTATTGATATAGATTATATATAATTGATAACAATACAAAATTGACATTATTTTATTTTATTAACATGTGTCATTAGAGAAAATATGATGACTTTATTAAAAGAATGCAACAAAAAAATAGACAAAAAGAGGAGAACAGAAGAATTCTTGTCCCAGTTAAGAGAAGAGGGGGATGAAAATGAAGGATTCATTGATGAGATTGATGCAATTAGGCAAGCAACTCGAGAAAGCATCAAATCACAACATGAGTGGCATAGAAGAGAAGAATTCAGACGAAGTACTAGTGGTTGGAGTAATATTTATGAAGAAGGGCGACCTTCCCATGGATTAGTTGGAGGATATCGTCAAGAAAGAACAAGTAAATCCATCCCGAGTGAGTCTGAGTTTACCTTACGAGGAGCTACACCTGAATTGGTTAGAAGTACAAGCTCAAAATAACCAAAGGTCAGTAGTTCTTTTTTAAAAGACTTTACGCAAGAAGATGGGTGAAGCGGTATCTAAATTTTTAATATATGAACGACTTCCTTTTCAATTAGCAAGTTCTCCAAGGTTATATAATTTAATTCAAGTGTCAATAGAAGTTGGACAAGGTGTAAAGCTGCCAACACCTTATAAGGTTTCAGATGTGTATTTGGAGTCAGAATTTGAACGAGTTCGTGATTGGGTAAATGGAATGAAGACTCATTGGAAAGATTTTGGTGCAACTCTAATGTGTGATGGTTGGACCAACAGTTTAAACCAAATGCACATCATTAATTTCCTTGTTTATTGCAGTAAAGGAACCGTTTTCTGGAAATCCATGGATGTCTCAAGTGTTCGTAGCAGAGATGCTAAGTTCTACTACAACTTGTTAGATTCAGTTGTAGAAGAAATTGGAGAAAGCTACATTGTCCAAATAGTGACTGATAATGAGGCAGCAATGAAAGCCGCTGGAAAAAAAATAATGTTAAAAAGAAAGCATTTATATTGGACCTCATGTGCAGCTCATTGTTTGGATTTATGCCTTGAAGATATTGGAAAAAGGCCTAGTGTAGCAAAAGTGTTACAAGAGGCTAAGAAAGTGACTTGTTTCATAGACAATCACATTTGGATTGTTGATCTAATGAAGAAGTATACACAAGGGAAGCAAATACTTCGACCCGCTCTTACTCGATTTGCAACTCATTTCATCCAGCTTGAAGAGATAACAAGACAAAAGCAAGGTCTGAGAGAAATGTTTAATTCAAAGGTCAGTATTTTATAATTAATTATATAATTACTTAAATATAACAATCTTTAATGATTTATTATTTGTAAATACTTTAAATTATATAATTTTAATTTT